TGGAGCTATCCATGGATATTTTGAGGGCTCTGGGTTGGTTTTTCTTTTAACTTGGGCTTTCTTTATTAAAACGCTTTTCCCAAAGTCTATAATGACTGGATTCCAACGCCCGGAAATCACGTGGAGAACAATGTTGTTTTCCTTTAAATCATTGTGCAACCAGCCTCTAGAATGAATGTAGCCAAGTGTTGTAGCAATTTGTATAATAACATCCATCATTTCACTTCTTCCTAAAAGCCGATCTTTCATGGCTTGGCTCAATGTGTGGGTATTATTATCTTCTGTGGCGTGTAACTGTGTTACCAACAGGAAAGGTAGTACATCCAAATTCATGCCGAATAATAGTGGCAGTGAAATGTGGTGCTTTAATTTCTGGAGGTCTTCTATTGCTGCGGCCTCACGCACTACTTCTGATTTTGAGATCGAGTCTCGAAAAGTCTTAATAACCACAGGAATATTACCACGGTAATAGCCTTTATAGCAAATGCCATACGTTCCACTTCCAATTATTTGACTTTTTTCTAGTGTTGAAATATGTTTGCGTTCAATGTTAGTAATCTTGGATGGTTTATCAAGAATTCCTTTCTTCTCCAAACGGTTCTCAGTCTGGATGCCTTGATCGGCGACCTGTAGAGCTCCAACTCCTGGTTGAAGTTTAGTTGAATGTTCAACAGGATTTCCTACAGTTTTGCCAACATCTTGACGCGCTTGTCTTTTTAAAAACTTTTTTCGATCTCTGTGTCGCTTCTTTTCCTGTTTTCGTTCTTCCTTTGTATGTGGTCTGCTATAACATTTACGCTTCGCTTTAACTGGACTACCTGGACTATCTTCCATAGTTAACGTGATAGCATCGACACAGAAATTAATAGGTTATATTTAAATGAATATGAACAAATGGCTGTTTCTTATTGGTTGATAATGACATACTTCCGCTCTAGATGTTTTTAGGTGTATACTTGACTTGTATCTTCACCATTAGATTATTCTTATTCATTGGGTATAATTATTAGTCCTCAGTGGAGCATATTCAAGTGACAAGTCGGTGTTTTAACAAKCATAAAKCTGAAATGTCTCTTGTAACTCATTGCGTTATATGTCAGAAAAAGTTTTCTACTACACGTGYTTTGGATAAGCACAGCTTAACTACACATGGAGAAGCGGCGACTAAATATAGCTTTTATGAAGCCCTGAACAATAATCCTGTTCCTTTGCCTGCAGTAGAAAAGCTTAACACTCAAATCTACGATAATTATCTTGCTTGGCTGGCTTGTGTTACTGAACGAGTGAATAGTACTCATCACCCTAAATGTGAAGGTAATTACCGCAATAATGTAACATTTAGATAAAGGTTCATAAGTAAGTCATTAAACATCAGACATGTATTTTTAGCTGGAATTCGTTCTTGTACTGCCAGACTTTACATTACGTAGCCAGCAGTATTTATGTAAGCTAGGCAATATATGCTTTATTGTCGTTCGGCAGTCGKATAAATTTTAAGAGTAATTTGTATGTAATACAGTCCTAGTATTGTCTCAACTATCATTTAAACTATGTCGGCAAAGGTCACTAAGTAAATACGTAAGACGCGGTGTAAAAGAACTATCAATTTTTATATATTTTTTTATACAGTTTTTTGTTGTATCGATTATTTAGCGTTCCTAATTAATATTTCAGCTCGATGGGTCAAAATTGATGTCCCACAGACACCCGAAGAGTATGCACGAMATGTTTTATGGAAACTTGATTGCMAAGTTCACAGCATTCGAAAAATGCCACACTTGAAGCAGCCTATAATGGTTGCTAATTCGATGAGGTACTCATACAAGATTTTCGACGAGGATGTTTTCGTCAATCTATTAAATGAGCAGACAAACATACCAGTTCGAATGAATGCGGCTTATTCTGTAACTGGAAGAATTGTAGATGAAGATCTCTACGATGAAGATGWCCCAATTAAGGCTCTCGAAGCTGCTAAACAAAGGGGAAGACARGCACAGCATAATAAGTCATGTAAACCGAAATTGCGTAGTTCCATAGTCATCGGCGAGGGAGAAGGACGGCGTACCAGAGAATTCGAAGTGCAATGGTGGCCAGACCTCTATAAGGGATTCGTTTGGCAAGATGTCCTTACGTTTTTTTGTAAACAAAATAGAGCTATAAACGTTGTACGTTGACTGATTTACCATACATAAAGTAAAAAAAAATGTTTTTATTCAAGGTGCAGAACAAAGTGTATTTCGCTTTGATCGTCTACTTGTATGTCTATATTATATTTTTATATTGACACTTTTGTTATTTACACATTATAAGAAAAGCTCAACAGTGTCGTGATACTATTTACATA